GGTCGGGGGGGGGGCTGTGCCGGGGTGGCCGGGCCCCCTCCCAGCCTCCAAAAACCCCCCCCGCCCCACGCAGGGGGAATTCACCCCAATCCCACCGCAGCATCCTCAGCCGGGGGTCCCCAAACCCGGAGGGGGGTATGGGGTCCCACACGTTGCCGGTGATGGGTTCCCTCTCCCGGGGAGGGGGCTCCAGGCTCAGCACAGCCCCGAGGGATGGGAGAAGAGGTGCGGGGGTCCTCAAAAGACACCCGGGGTCCCCCGAGGACGCCGTTCCTCACCTCCGCGGCGTCCCGCAGGCAGCAGGAGAAAGGCACGGAGCACCGCTCCCGGCTGGGGTTGGCGGCGGTGCAGTTGAAGTACATGTTCTGGGACCAGTCCTTGTAGGAGACGCCCCCGCAGCAGCTGAACTGCGGGGAAGGGCACGGGGCGCTCAGCGGGGAAGGGACCCTGGCCCCGCAGCGGGGACCGGGGGGGGACGGGACGGGACGACAGGAACGCTGGGACAACGGGGCACAGGACCGCCGATTTCATGGGCAGCAAGTGATGGCCTTCCCAAGCCCACCTACATCCAGCTCGCCCCATCGCCGCCGTCTTTAGGGACGAGCAATCCGCTTCCCAGCGGTTTCAATAGGCCCTACATAAACACAGGCCACAGGCTTCAACCAGGGCGCCGGGGGGGTTTTCTCCCCCCCCCCTTTTCATCCAGCTCTCCCCAGCCTCCTCCTGCCCTGGCGGGGGGGCTTCACCACGAACGTCAGATCCTCGCGGAGGAGCCACCCAACCTGGTCCTCAACCCAGGGGGGACCCCGCGGATTTAAGCCTGACCCACGAGCGGGGACACGTCCTTGCCTGTCGCAGGGAGGTCCTGCCCCCCCCCCTCCCCCCCCCTGCACCTCCTTCTGCCCGAAGTCGATGATGTTCTGCAGGTCCAGGTCATCCCGGTAATGCACGATGGCACCGTTGATGATCTCGCTCACCTTCCCGCGCGCCTGCGGGGTGGGCGGGGCAGGGAGGACAGGATGACATCAGCAAGGTCCCCCCCGCGAGCCAGGGTCGCGACCCCCGCCCCCCCCCCCCCCACCACTGCTCCCCCCTGCGGTACCTTATCGGAGAAGACGAAGCCCAGCACGCCGGCCGCCAGTTGCAGGAGGAAGATGACGGTCAGGCAGACGGAGAACTGCGGGCAAGAGGAGGGTGATGGCGGCGGGGCCAGGGGAGAGAGGCCGAAGTCCCACGGGGGCACCCCGGGAGGGACCCGCCGTCCCCGGGGACTCACCGTCTGCAGCAGGCAGATGTTCTCCCGCAAGGAGCCGACGCAGCCGCAG